ATTATTCATCATCAAAATAGACATGTAAAACTATGTTAATAACAATTATTCATTATAAAAAAGAAAAAAATAGAATAGTAACAGGGTGTGTTTCGGGGATCTACCAGGTGAGCTATCAAATCAAAGGGAGAGAGATCAGACAAGGAGTGGCAGTCATCTTCTACTCTAAAAATCACGAGGAAAAGGGAGATCGAGAAAGAGAGGGAGATAAAAGGGCTATAGGCCTATAGCAACAGCTTTTGGCCCAAATCCAAATATTTATACCCGTACTTGAATTCAAAGGCACTGGACTCTGGAGTGGTGCTCTGCTCAATGTCTCCACCGGTATATCCAACTATGAGGGAAAATTTCTTTTGTCTATCTCTGTTTTCAAGAAACCAAAAATCTTGAATTCAAAAGTAGAGTAATTTCAAGAAATTTTCCCCAAGCTTATCAAAGTCAAAGTCAAACTACAACCATTTTATGCAAGGCTTTAAATTTTGCACGGATATCAAGACATAAACATGTTAATAATCTGAATATATATATTTCACAACCAGCAATCAAGCATGGCTAACCGGTAGGGTATATCCTTTTTGTATTTGTTGTGCAAAAAATATACACTAATATTAATACCATCGATTAGAGTTCAATGAACACTTACAGATAAAATGGTATTAGCAATTAAAAACCCAAATCGCCTACAAAAGGTATTTTATATTAATCTTATGATATTTTAAGATAAGGATTACGGAGTGGTCTCCACATGTCAAGACAATTTACAAAAACACTTATTACATTGATCTCAAAGGTATAAATGTGTACATCTCTTCATGAAAAAGAGAGGTTGGACATATGAGAGTTGAACATAGATTTGAGCGAGCTTATTTTTCTCCGTAAACAAAGGATTTCTCCATCTTTGTATGCCTTACAGACAATATCATAAAAATAGTCAGAGAATAATAAAATAACTGTAGGTATAGAATTTGCTTTAAGCATCCAAACTACTATAAAAATCCCTCTTGTCCATCTTTTATTTATGTTTCATCAAACATATATCATCCCAGCACCATAAACACTTCTCATGAATTATTCACGTGTAATTTCTAAGAACAGTTTAGTACTTTGCATATGCGAGTCGTTGGTGTCAAAATCACGCATCAACAGTATCAAACTTACATGCAAGACATACACAATATGCATGTAAACTATCATCAAATAAAATATGTAGTTAGTGGGTGTTATAAGAGGAAGTTATATAATAACTACCTATCATGCTGTGTATGCTCCTTAATGGAAGGAGTGATGGGTGGTTATTGGGAGTTTCTTGGTCCCTAGTCTAGCCATTATAAAACATCTCCTCCATTAGAGTTTGTGATTATGGTTTTCCATTTGGTATAGGCTAGAAGACACCTCTCTAAATTTCTCTCAAAAAATCATCTTTGTATGAGCTTTTTTCCAAAACTTGAGCCATAATGGCCAGGGGTAAGTGATTAATTTCCGCATTAAAGAGTGTGTTTGTTTTATTATTTTGGGTAGGATTTTTGAAAAAGTTGAGTTAAGTGATTATTATGAGGTAGGATTTGAAAATTAACAAAAACACTCCATAGCTTTGAAAATTAACAAACCTATGAAGTGTTTTTGTTAATTTACTAAACAACCCTATAATAAAATATTGAAAATCAACAAAAACACCCTCATCCACCTATTAAATGCCGGCAGTCGGCCACCACCGCCGGAGGGTGGATGGGTTGGGGTGTTTTTATCAATTTCTATACTTTTTTGTTGGGAAGGCTTAACATACACTTCCTCTCATTGCTTACCAAAATAAAGATTTGAAGATGATTTTTTTTTTTTTTTTTTTCAGAAAACTGCTTTATGTGTTTTGTTATAAGACAACTTAAAAGGGATCGACAAACTGTTTTGAACGTGAGCATTAATATCCATGATTTCTAAAGCGAGTTACGTAGTTCAGAAAAATAAAAAATCCCTTGTTCTAAAAAGGTTTTTGAAGCCCGCTAAAAGCATTGCCTGATCAACAATTGAACAAATTTAATGGACAGTATTTTGCATGAATTGTGTCAGAGAAAATGGTGATCCAAAGAAATATGGTGTGTGTGTGCGCGGGCCCTGTGTTGTCTCCTTCATTATACTCAACTCAATTCTAGCTTGAGGTTTGGAGGAAGAAACCACACTTGGTTCCTTTCACCTGAATGCACCAAACATGCTCTCAAATCAGAATTGTGAGACTGTAGGGGGCCATCATTAATATTTGGAAAATAATACAGCCACCGACGATAGTGCACCGAATTTATACATCGAATGACGTGATAAAATCCTGACTGTTAATTAATTTTAACTTAATATTAATCAACGATCAAGATTTTGCTACGTCATTCGGTGCACTACCGTCGGTAGCTATACCATTATTCTTAATATTTTGACGTTATTAAGAAAGAGATTCTTTATTACAAATTTTGATAAACAAATTGACACATTCATGAGATGATCCATAATTTACAGTTAACCATCAGGTTAATGCAGATGGTGATGGCCGATTTTGGCTAAATACATGGTGGATTTGGTCGAAAAATGGTAGATTATTGCATAACTGACTAGATCTAGCCGGTTGTGCGTCATTCCGATGACTTCCGATCACCATTCGATGATAGTAAACTTTTATTAAGAGGGTGTTTAACTATTCCAATTACCCAAATTAGACAAATGTAAAGGGTTAAAAATAATCTAAATATTTTCAAAAAATGTATCAAATACATACTCAAAATCTTATCCTATTTGATTTAATTTTATCCTATCTTATTCAAAATATCATATTTAAAATAATGTACTACCATATTGTTCTAAAATAATCTTTGTCCTCAGCGCACATAAAACACGCTAGCCAATTTCTCTAATTTGGGTCCAAGCTGATCACAAGACAATCAGCCAACCACTTGGGATCACTTATTTGTGTATAGAGTTTTTTTCATATATAATATTATGACACAACTTCAACGTGCGATAAAGATTAGAAAAATGAAAGAATGTATGTATGGTGAGTCATTGTTAGATTTGGATCATGGGCATATCTACGAAATTATTAAATTAATTATTTCTAGAAAAAGAGCTCACATGCTCATCACTTTTATTCATGGGATACGTTTTAATTTTCATCTTAAGCTAGGCTATGGTATATTTAAATGTGACAATATGAGAACAATTATTGAAGATTCATGCAACTTGAAAGCATTATGAGAACCATTTAAATAATGTGACCATAAATTAATTTTGGATATCTTTGATTATAGTATATAATTTAAAACAAATTGACGATTATCTTGTCGCATTCTCATGCGAAGAACTAGTGTTAAGAATCTGCCATGCGTGAAAAAGGTTATCTTGATTGATAATTAATAAATTAATATGGGAAAACAATTTGACAATAGTTGGGATCCAAGCAATTATGATAATGATTTTTGAAAAAATTGAACGAAGAATCCACGTTTTCTGAAGTCACTATTAATTTGTCAAAACTTCGTAAAAAATGAACATGACCTTCGACATAAACTAGGAATTGATCTAATCAAGCATGTCCTTTTCTCAAACACTTCAATCAATATATATATATATATATATATATATATATGATACAGAATTTTGTATCAACTCAAGTGATCTGATCTACCTTGACAGGATTGAAACTGGTGTGTGCATGATTACAGGTAACCAACAATGAATGAATAATGAATGCAGTAAAGAAAATGACAAAGAGATTTTTAAAGTGGTCTCGGCGAGATAAACTCTTGAGCTTACGTCTACTGTTTTTCATATTTGTTATGAGAACTTACAATAGTAATTCTAGGAATAATTTCCAACCCGTTTCTTATTGTTTGAGGGGGTTTATATACAGAGTTTGTATAAAGGAAATAGCGAAAATAAATAGATTATAATTGAATTGAAATGCAGCTTCGGTATTCTCGTGATTGTGTTGTGATTGAGCAAAGATTGTTGTCTGATCCATTTTGAGATATCTGTGATATGAGGTTATCTGAGAGTTGGTTGAATGATCATATGGATTGTTTGCGATTAACTTGTGTTGGGTCAAGCTGTAGTTCGACAAGCTTACGCTGGGTCAGACAATCAATGAAATCGAGTTGTTTCCAGGTCGAGTTATAACCTCGTGACATTCTGAGCTTGATGAAAAAATCACATACAATATATATAAAACAAGAATTCAATTTAAAAATTAGAAAATTAAAAATAAGAAGACAATGTCAAGCACAGACGCCATTCCCAAAAGAAAATTAGATGTTTGATCTACCGACAACATTGAACAACATATAATAATCAGATAGAAAAAGCCCGACGATATCTCTTCACTTTCAAGTTTCAATAAACTAGCTCCCTCAAGAGTTATTTAATATGTGTATAAGTTGACTCGGTCACTTTGGTTATATATAAAAAAAAAATGATAAATAAATAAAAAAACATAGTTGAAATTTAATAGATCAATTTTGGATAAATGATCTTACATACATGCATCAAAGTTGATAGTAGATGATCAATAACACTAGACGAATGATTGACGATTAGTTGGTATTACTTGAATTGGTTAATTGAATTAAATGGGTTAAAGAAATTATTCTAGTATATTTGTTAAAAAAATTTAAATATTAATTTAAATGTATTTAATATAATATTATAACATAGCTTAAATAAATTAAGTTATTGTAACATAAATTTTTTGCATAAATTCATGACCTTCAATTCATGTTAATCCAACGGACTTAAACAGAAAATTAAAAGTCAATTTATTTTAATATTAACTAAATAATGTATAATACAATGTTTAGGGTCTATCAATAATCATGAATTTGCATTATAATATATATCTATTTGAATAAATTCCGCATAAAGCCACACTTTTGTTACTTTCTTCTAAAGCTGACAATCTGTGCAGTATAAACATGCAAAAAGTAATTGCCATAAAACCTTCCGCCATTAGCCTATAAATGTCTCCAAAACCAACCCAAACTCTCACCTTTACAACACAAACACAATCACGATTAATGGAAGCCTTTTCTTGGGTTGTTTTAGCCACGGCATGGCTAGCTGCTCTAGTCTTCTTGAAAAGAATCACAACTTCCTGGCGCCAACCCCTAAATTCTGCACCTGGTCCTAAACCATGGCCTATCATCGGCAACCTTAACCTCATTGGTCCACTTCCTCACCAATCTCTTCATAAACTAGCCCAAAAATATGGATCCATAATGCAACTTAAGTTTGGTTCTTTCCCTGTTGTTGTTGCCTCTTCTGCAGAAATGGCTAAACTTTTTCTCAGGACACATGATCATATCTTTGCCTCCAGGCCTCCAACCGCAGCTGGCAAGTACACAACTTATAACTATTTGAATATTACATGGGCTCCTTATGGACCATACTGGCGTCAAGGCCGCAAAATTTACCTCAGGGAGCTGTTTAGCTCAAAACGACTCGAATCTTACGAGTTCATTCGTGTTGAGGAATTGCGAGCCTTTGTCTCTCGTTTATATACCTCATCAGGGAAGCCTATTGTGCTTAAAGATCATCTCTCACGCTTTACCCTAAGCATTATAAGCAGAATTGTGTTGGGTAAGAAGTACTTTTGTGAGTCGAAATCTGAAACTTCAGTCGTGACACTTGAAGAGTTCCAAGAAATGCTGGACAATTTGTTCATGCTGAATGGAGTGCTAAATATTGGGGATTGGATTCCATGGATGGATTTCTTGGACCTGCAAGGGTATGTGAAGCGAATGAAGGTCTTAAAGAAGAGATTTGATCGATTTCATGACCATGTGTTTGATGAACACAGAGCCAAAAGGGAAGGAGTGAAGGATTTTGAGGCAAAAGACATGGTGGATTCACTACTGCGGCTGGCTGATGATCCCAAACTTGATGCTAAGCTAACTTCTGATAGTGTCAAGGGGTTCACACAGGTAAATGTCTTTCCTCTTCCAGTCTTTAAATTACAGAGTGCATGATATTTAGAAAGTCAAATAACTAAAAATTCAAGAATTTTAGGTATTGAAATCAGCGGAAGACTTAGTTTGAGCAATATGTGATTAAGGTTAACTAAAAATGCATAATAAAAGCGTTAATAGAGAAAGAGTTGACAGCTAGCGTTACCGATGATCAAGGTTAATTGACTAAAACATATTAAGAAATATTTGAGAGCACATGCAATTAGGTAATTAGTCTATAGCTCCTTTAAAGATGCAACCCAGTTCAGTAGCTTCAATCTATGAAGGTTACAAATTGAAGAGAGAACATCCTGTTTTATAGTAGTTTGAGAGAAGACACATGCCCATGAGTGGTTCAAACTTCAAATTATTGCCAATGACTAATGACTAAACACTTACATATAGTCGGTTCTTGCCGTAGTCAAATGTTATAAGATAATTCAAGCCAGTTGACCATGTAAGTCAATTTATATATATTTGTTGAAATTATCTATGAGCTATTCTTTAATATTTCAATAAATGATATTATGAATTATTGAATTAGTATTCAAAATAACAACCTGTCCTTTGTAATATAAGTAACCAGTAATTCATTTTTTTGGTTTTGTTCATCCGTGATCAGGATCTCATTGCTGGAGGCACGGATACCTCAGCTACAACTGTGGAATGGGCTATGTCTGAACTTCTGAAACAACCAGAGCTTATGAAGAAGGCAACAGAAGAACTTGATAGAGTAATTGGCAGAGAAAGATGGGTTGAAGAGAAAGACATCCCACAACTTCCTTATATTGATGCAATTATGAAAGAAACCATGAGGATTCATCCAGTGGCTGTACTCTTAGCCCCGCATTTGGCCCTTGAAGATTGCAATGTTGCTGGTTACCACATTCGTAAAGGCACTAGAGTGTTTATAAACTCTTGGAGTTTAGGTAGAGACCCTTCAGTATGGGATGCGCCTGAAGAGTTTCGGCCTGAGAGGTTCATAGGCAAAGCAATTGATGTGAAGGGCCAAAGCTTTGAGCTTTTGCCATTTGGCTCTGGTAGGAGGATGTGCCCTGGCTATAGCCTCGGACTGAAAATGATTCAGTCTAGTTTCGCTAACATGTTACACGGTTTTAACTGGAAGTTGCCGGGGAACGTAAAACCTGAAGATATCAGCATGGAGGAAGTTTATGGATTGGCAACAATAAGAAAGTTCCGACTTGTTGCAGACATGGAGCCCCGACTCCCACTTCATCTTTATTAATTGAGATATTAATATAATTAGTTTCCAATTTTTCTTTAATTTTAATAAGTGGAGGTTGAATTGATCATGTTTCTTCAACCTCGCTTGGTACTGTCTCTAAAATCTTGACATTGAAACAAGTTTAAGGCAGTTCCCCTGTACTGTTTCCTATTATACTAATATAGATAAAGTCTTGATATGGTTAGATACTAGTGGATCATTGTGCAGCCAAATGGTTTCTAGAATAAGGAAATTTCCAATTTAATAAATTAATTAACTTCCCTTGCAGTTTCAACTCAAAATAATGCATGCACCAGATTATACATCCAGCATGTAGTTTAAGTTATTGCGCATGCTGGAATGGACAATACTTTAAACATAATTTTTCCCTTTCCATAAAAATATGTTAATATCATTGTCAAGTGTGCATTGAAAATTATGTTTGTAAACATTACAAATAAATTATTTCTAAAGATCTTAGAACATCTCCGATAGTGCTCTTTATTTTAAAGAGCATCTTTCATATAAATAAAGAACATTTTTATTAATTTCTAAATATAACAAACAAAATTTTTATTCAAATCCAATTGACTCTTTAAATTTAATGAAGATGTTCTTTATTTTCAAGAAAAAAACTTAACAGGAGAGAGAATTAATAATAAAATGCATAGAAACTTGTAGTTTATTAATTAAAATTATGATAAAGAGTGAATTTGACTGTCTAGATATGGAGAGCCAAACTCACTCTTTAATTTATATTTAAAGGATAAAGAGTTTGTTTAACTCTTATATTTATGGATAGACTCTTTATAATAAAGAGTTTGTATCATATAAAAAATCATTCGGAGATGCTTTTGGATTGGTTCTTAGTTATTCAAAGTCAAGCCATTCCATATATATATATATATATATATATATATATAATATTCAATAATTAAAAGACATGTTAGATTGTTTTCCATATATATTAATTTATTAATTTATTATCAATCTTCAATAATTGTTCTCATATTGTCACATTTAAATATACCCAAGTCTAGCTTAAAATGAAAATTAAAACGTTTACCCCATAAATAAAAGTTTGTCAATGTTATCATGGTAGGTTATTCTAATATTTAAATCTAAGATTTCAAGAAAGGGAAGGAAGCAAACCTCATTGACTGAGAGACCAATCACTCGAGGTTTTATTATTGAATTGTCTCAAAACACNTTTCCCATATATATTAATTTATTAATTAATTATCAATCTTCAATAATTGTTCTCATATTGTCACGTTTAAATATACCAAAGTCTAGCTTAAAATGAAAATTAAAACGTTTACCCCATAAATAAAAGTTTGTCAATGTTATCATGGTAGGTTATTCTAATATTTAAATCTAAGATTTCAAGAAAGGGAAGGAAGCAAACCTCATTGACTGAGAGACCAATCACTCGAGGTTTTATTATTGAATTGTCTCAAAACACGTAATCCTGACCTTAATGACACACATTATAACCTCACTTTGTAACTTGTTCTAAAAAAAATAAGAGACTTGCATTGGATCCATAACCTTTTGACTAGTATTTTGAAGTTTAAAAAATACAAAGAGAGAAATGAAGTCCACATTGAGTGATCTAATCATTGCCATTAATACTCCACGTAAACATAATTTTAATTAAAAGTAACACTGGTCTTATTCACTCTTCATATTCACTTCTCTTACTCATTTTTATAAATATAAAACATAGTATGAGTATTATAAATATAATATAAATGCTATATGTTATTTTAACAAAGATAAGTAAGAGAAGTGAGTAGAATGAGAGAGTAAAGTTAGCATGTTTCTTTAATTAAACTAAAAAAGATGAGAGAATTTATAGAATGAAAACTGAAAAGACAAGATGAAGAAGAAGAAGAAGAGAGAATTGTTAGTTGAGTTGAGCACGACACGTGTTACACATCATCCTACATCTACGACTTGATTGCCTTGCGTTGAAGTGGAGCGTGCCTCTCATCACCATCATTGCCCATGCAACCTAACATATATCACAACCGTTGAAAGAGGGGGCCGAACAGTTATCTTCCTTCCCGTGGGTCCATGTATTAGATTTGTTGGTGGGACACGTGCTTAACATCTACGACTACGACAAAACGACATAATATAAGACGTGTCTAATTAAATCATGATGCAATGTCAAACAATGTGGACAAACATAATATACGTGTTTAGCTTATACTTACTTTAACTTCATATGTATCTTCCAATTTCCTTAAAATAAATTATATAATAAATTTTTGAATGAGACCAACTGACTTGTCAGGAATAGACATAAGCTAAGTGATATATATATTTGTTTATTACGGGATATCAGGCCTAGTTTATATACCATTCAATTAATTTATCCAAATTTTAAAACTATGATTAGTATGGGTTTCATTAATCATTCTTATTAGTATCTTAAAGACTCAAACTTAGAAACTCATAGATACTCCTTTCGTTAACCACTCTTATTAATGTTTGAAATGACTAAAAATTTATCAAAAAATCTTTTTTCAAATATTTATATATATATATATACAGTAACTTTTGTGAAGAGAAAGATTAGTGAAGAAAAAGGTGACCAATAATTTTGTAGAACAAATTTGATATGCTATGATTTGAATTGAATTTACGGTATAAATTTTGATATAAGCTAACTGTTGTTACTAGTAGGGAATGCTGTTGTATCTAGACCCACTAACAAGGAAAGACACATAAGATTGAAGTGATTTTGTGGAGAAAAGTCAAGACCAATGACAGAAAGTGAAGAAAAACTCGCAAAAAGGTGACAAAAACCAGTGACAGATTGATGGGTTATAAATCAGATGATTTGAAGCTCCATATTCGCTTTAGTACTGGGAAGTGCATGCATTAGCTAAATTATATTACATTACCAGTCTTGATGGATCGAAAGAGAGAGTTTTTTATTATATATAGTAACTTTTGTGAAGAGAAAGATTAGTGAAGAAAAAGGTGACCAATAATTTTGTAGAACAAATTTGATATGCTATGATTTGAATTGAATTTACGGTATAAATTTTGATATAAGCTAACTGTTGTTACTAGTAGGGAATGCTGTTGTATCTAAACCCACTAACAAGGAAAGACACATAAGATTGAAGTGATTTTGTGGAGAAAAGTCAAGACCAATGACAGAAAGTGAAGAAAAACTCGCAAAAAGGTGACAAAAACCAGTGACAGATTGATGGGTTATAAATCAGATGATTTGAAGCTCCATATTCGCTTTAGTACTGGGAAGTGCATGCATTAGCTAAATTATATTACATTACCAGTCTTGATGGATCGAAAGAGAGAGTTTTTTATTATATATAGTAACTTTTGTGAAGAGAAAGATTAGTGAAGAAAAAGGTGACCAATAATTTTGTAGAACAAATTTGATATGCTATGATTTGAATTGAATTTACGGTATAAATTTTGATATAAGCTAACTGTTGTTACTAGTAGGGAATGCTGTTGTATCTAAACCCACTAACAAGGAAAGACACATAAGATTGAAGTGATTTTGTGGAGAAAAGTCAAGACCAATGACAGAAAGTGAAGAAAAACTCGCAAAAAGGTGACAAAAACCAGTGACAGATTGATGGGTTATAAATCAGATGATTTGAAGCTCCATATTCGCTTTAGTACTGGGAAGTGCATGCATTAGCTAAATTATATTACATTACCAGTCTTGATGGATCGAAAGAGAGAGTTTTTTATTATATATAGTAACTTTTGTGAAGAGAAAGATTAGTGAAGAAAAAGGTGACCAATAATTTTGTAGAACAAATTTGATATGCTATGATTTGAATTGAATTTACGGTATAAATTTTGATATAAGCTAACTGTTGTTACTAGTAGGGAATGCTGTTGTATCTAAACCCACTAACAAGGAAAGACACATAAGATTGAAGTGATTTTGTGGAGAAAAGTCAAGACCAATGACAGAAAGTGAAGAAAAACTCGCAAAAAGGTGACAAAAACCAGTGACAGATTGATGGGTTATAAATCAGATGATTTGAAGCTCCATATTCGCTTTAGTACTGGGAAGTGCATGCATTAGCTAAATTATATTACATTACCAGTCTTGATGGATCGAAAGAGAGAGTTTTTTATTTTTATTTTTAATTTTCTTTCAAGTTCACTGCTTTACTCAATTTGATGTTGCATTCACTTCCCTACACAATTATACCTACAGCAACAGCAACTAGCGCTTTCTATATCACTGCTTTTTCTTCTTCCCCCACTATTTATTTTTTCTTTTTAGGAAAGAAAACGTAAAGTTGACGCTTCTCTATGCCACTCTATCTAATCTCTAATCACTCTAAAATGTCATGGGGTAAATTTTTACCCCATGCCCAAATCCAACAAAGATTTTGAAAACAATGACGTGTTTAATTAAAAAAAAAAAAATGCTCACCTGACATATATTCTTTCTTTTTTCTAATCTTTATCGCATGTTGAAGCTGTGTCATAATATATTAATATTATATATGAAATACGTAAATCTATTTAATTGTTTACACACATAAGTGATCTCTGATTGTCTTGTGATCAGCTTGGGCCCAAATTAGAGTATTTGGCTGGCGTGTTTTCTGTGGAATTTGCCTTCAGGATCAATATTATTTTAGAACCAAAATTTTTCTATCGTCAAAATTAGTTTCATATTGTTATATTTATCACAATAATACTCTTGATTTCTCTTGGACATAACACAACAGTTAAAACTGATTAACTTACAATATTTTGGTGGACACTCAAATCCAATACAAACAATTCTCAAAGGATCATTTTCTGAAATTTATCCGTAAATCAACCCTTCAAATGTTATAAATATGAAGATATACAACTCTTAATAATTTGGCTTGAATTGTTTACATTAATCTTTACCCCGTTCATAAAGTGTTAGAAGATCGTGCAACAGAAAACATACATTCGAGATTTGGTATCAGAGCTAGGTTTCATTCCAGCACCTAGGTTTTATTCTAGGTTGTGAGATCTTTTTCGAATCTGCAGTAGTCTAGGGTTAGATCTGTTTTCACAGTTGCAATTTTCTTTAACTTAGGGTTTCTCTTAGTCTCGGGTAATTTGGGGCTTTTGCACTCTGAGTAACTGTGAAGGTTAGAAACCTAGAAATGTCTAAGTTTGAGATAGAAAAATTCACAGGAGATAATGATTACGGGT